GACTTCAGCACCTTGGCAACCTTCCAGAATGGTCTGGAACGGTCGTCCAGGTTCTGAACGAGCCGCCCGAAACTCTCGTTCCGGATTGAAACCATTCTGGAAGCGATCTGCCGATTCAGATCGACCATTTCGTATTTACGCTGCAGATCCCCAGTCCGCTGAAACTGGCGTCTACGAACATTTCTGAGCCGAATCAAGAGTTTGGTGTGGGAATCAATTGCTTGAAACTTACCCCTCACAGGAACTCGTCGAACGCACTCTTCGTCAGCCACGGATATGGCTTGATGGAGACCCTCCAAAACCCGGTCGATGTCCTCCACTGTGTCGAGCGGTGGGTTGTCGTCGATGTGGCGGTCGACCACGCGTCGAAACTGGACCCAGTTGACTCGATGGTAGTCCTTCCGCTGGCACGGTGCAGGGGCCACGTTGTAGCCCAGCTCGGTCAGCACCGGTTGGTGGTCCGAACTCAGGTCGTTGACGGCAACCGGCTTGGCTAATCTGGTGTTTGCCAAGAACAGGTCCAGCGTCGATGGGTTGCCCGTCGGTGATGTGAAGGTTGGTTCGTCCGGAAACCAGACGGAATAGAGACCATGCTGGGAATGGTCGAATAGCAGGCGGCCGTTCTGGTTCTGCTGGTAGTTCCGCCAGGCCTCGTGCCGGGCGTTCAGGTCCCCTCCGATTACAAAGCGGGCATTGGTGTGGGTTATGATGGCAAGGTCGTTCTTGAACTGCTGTGCTGTACCATTGCTAACGGTACATTGCCGGGGGCAGTAGACAACGATGAACCGGACGTTTCCGGTCGATGTTTCCACCTCAACGCCGACGGCCTCGATGATGGAAGTGCGGTAGTGGGGTAGGGTGCAGTACTTGATGCCTTTCTTGATGATGACCGCGACACCGCCCCCCCTGGAGCTGGTGCAATCAAGCCGGACAATGCTGTGGTCGGGCAGCCAGAAGCTGTCACCGGTCTTGAGGTGGGTCTCGGTGAGAAGGCCCACGTCGATGTCGTGCTTGCGGAGGAAGTCTGCAAGCTCAATGTTTTTCGCCCCTACGGAGCGAGCGTTCCAGTTGGCGATCTTTATGGGTTCACGGTCCATAATTAGCGACGAAGGAGATGATAGCTTGGAGCTGTTGTGTTCTTGTTGCGCAGGTGCGCTTGATGATGATGGCCTGGGCCAACAGTGTGACGATCTCATCCGTTGACAGCGGAGAATCGTCTGTAGCTTCACCGGTTGTACCGGCCAATCCCGGAGCAGGGGGATCCGTCGATGGCCCGGAGGCTTGACCGGGTACTGCAGTGGCTGCCAACTGTTGGTTGAGCGGGAGCGGCGGCAACACTGGAATGAGCAGAGGCAGGAAAGCAGCGCTGTTTTATATCTTTTCAGGTTCAAGCAGAATGATGTGCAACCAAGTGGTATTCGTTTATGATGACTGGGTTTGGGGAAAATGTTTAGTTCATGAAAACAGTGATAAAATAATCATTTGCGCATATTTCAACAGTTTTTTGATTAAAAATTTAAAAAGTATTTATTTCAGCAAATTTGTTAAGTAATATCCTATCGATTGGCGTATTTGGATTTTAATTTCATCTATAAATGGCAAAGTTACAAGCGTTCAAAACCTAACACTATTTCACCACACATATTTTTTGATTTGTACCCCAGTATACTCGACAAAGACGTAGTTCTACGTAAAAAAAAAATAACCTTATGCTGAACAATGAATTATAATATATTAAAATTCAAGTGTATTCCAAGAAAAGAAGATTATCATAAAATATTTTGATACATTCAACAAAGTTGTCTCAGCCCCAGGTTGGCAGGCATAGCTGTGCAACGTAGGACAGAATTTGTTTACCATTTTACCTTATTTGACTTTCTTATGCTACACGTTCACTAAATTTGAAATGTTCAAGCACTTTATAAAAGTTCCCGCTATTTTTCTGAAGTTGACTAAATTGCCATGAAATTCCTTATTCTATCTCGAAGTTCCCTTAATTTTCCTGAAATTATGAACACTTTGTTCAAGCTCGAGTAACGAACTAATCTTTCCCGAACTTCTATGGGCTTCCCTGAAGTTCTTAAGTTTTTTAATGATCCGGAAATTATCCTGCTATTCATATGATTTTCCTGAAGATTCCACAATGTCACTGAAGTTTTTGGGACATTTCTGAAATTTTCGGAATATTCCAGAATTTTCTTCTGCAATTTTCCTGAAGTGTTCTGATCATCTCCGAAGTACTCGGATCTTCCCTGAATATAATTAAACTACATACAAACCTGAAATTGTCTAGACTTTCTTTAAGAGATTTTCTATCTTCTTTTTTTTTAACTAGTTCATTTATTTGGAAGGCTCAATCGCGTTAGCTTTACGGAGCCAATAGTTCATTGTTCTTTGTTTGTAACAAAATTCTCTTAATTCTATGTCTAATAGGAATTGGGCCGAATACTCGCGGCTTACTCGAGGTTAGAGAGGTTAATGTTGAAGGAGAGGATCAGGGGAGGAGTTTGGGGTTAAGGTTTCGTTGTCTCATCACAGCGTTTTTGCCAGTATGAACGGTAGTGCGATTCTAGTTTCGTCTGGAGTTCGACCGGCTATGGTGACCAGTGGGCGACGATGAGACTCATCGAGACGGAAGGACAAGACAAACAAAGACTAATAAAGAGAGACAAAAGACAAAGTAATTATATTCTTATACTAGACATTTGAAGAAACACACAAACCGACTGCATATAGCAGATATCGTGAGTTCCCAACACGTCTCTGATAGGAACATAGGGTTGTCTTCCTTGGGCCTCAAGGGTATTCAAAAGTCGCTCTCTGGCGGCGTCATTATCCGTACATTGCCAAACTGCGTGATCGATATCATCGTAACCGTTTCCACACCGACAGATGTTACTGTCCACGAGGTTTATTCTATTGAGATGAGCATCTAACGAGTAGTGGTTGGACATAAGTCTTCTCATCACGCGAATGAAATCACGACTTAAGTCCAAGCCTTTAAGCCACGCTCTCAAAGAAACATTAGAAATAAGTTTTAGATCTTCTTAAAAATTCTCGGAATTTTCTTGAAATTAAGGGAAATGTCATGATGTTCTCTGATCTTCGCGAAAGCCCCGCATACATTTTAAACTCTCGAAACAACCATTAAAATTTTGGAACTTCCCCTAGACTGTTCTCTCATTTTTCATACGTTCATGTAACTTCCCTATCGTTTCCAAAATGTACAGGAACCTTTCGGAACTTCGCTACTATTTTAAAACTATTGGATGTGTCTGAAGACTTAAGTTTAAAAAAAACACTAGTTAACTCTACTGAGGTCTAAAATCAACTGAACTGATTTATTGAATTATATTATAACCAAACCTACCGAAACCCTATCAATCTGCTGAGTAAGATAAATTTAAAGAGGGAACGTGGTCGCCGTGTTGCTGTTGCAAAGGCGGGTCCAAGGGTTGGTGACATCGTTAGTTGGTGGTGAAACTGCTGAGGTGTCTTTGATCGTTGGCAGGTCCAAGAGTTGGTGACATCGTTGGCTGCCGGATGGCCATTTGCTGATGTAGGAATACCCAAGTAACATTTTAAGTTTTATCGTGGTTTTAAGTGTTCTTCAAGTCTAAATCATGGTCTTCAGAACCCACATAAAAACCCAAATTGCTACTTGGGTATGCCTTGCTCGTTACTGTGCTACCTTTGTGTTGCTGGGGAAGAATTGCTGATGTTTGGACTTGGGTGCGGATTAGTGATCGTGCTGGCTGCTATGCCGATTGCTGAGCCTTAGTCGTCGTCATCGGCGTTGTCTGCATGATGACGATGATGACGATAATAGAGATGTACCAATGAAGTGATTGGTTGCTGTTGCACCGATGAAGCGGTTGGTTGTGGTCCAAGAGGGTTCGTTCTTAACTTATATATTATATATGAATTCTCCGAACTGCCCGGAATTTTGACCAATCGGAAAATACTGGGAAACTTCAAAGCAGCGACTTCAACGAAGCGGCGGGGCAGTCAAACACATCCAGCAAATGCGGGCAAAATGGAGGTAATGCGCTGATTCCGTGTCCGTTTCCACTGTGCGGGCGCTGATGGGCTCCATCAAGAGGAAGGTTCGAGATTTCGTTCGAACTGGATAAATGTAACCATCTAATGCTGTAACTTTGAAGTTTTAATAAAAGTACTGTAAAACAACCCTTAATGGACGTTTTAAACTTATTGAATCTTGAATTACAGGTCTTTTTGCGCGTACCAATTTACTTTTAGTCAGCCTTTAAGTTTCCTCAATTTCTACGATGTTTCTTTTACTTCTTAGGAGTCCTTGAAGTTTTACGAAGTTTCCTGAAGTTGAAGAAAAATCGATTAAATAACGTTTTAATAAAATTTCTCAAAATTGTTTCTTCTGTTCCAGAACATAAGGAGAGTTGTTGACAAAGGACTTAAAAAAATCGTTGTTTGTGGTTAATGTTATTAATCGTTGTTAAATAGTAACATCGAACTTGACAAGCCGCCGTACAAAATCAAATAGCTTCCTTTTCGAAAGGTAACCTGTTTGATTTTATCCATGTACAGACGAGGTAGTATGTTGTTCGGCGTGTACTGAGATACTTGCAGGCGTGTTCCAAAAAAAGTCCTCTGGATGCGTTCTTCACTGCAACTTGCAATTCATCCTGGAAGTCGGGGAATGTCACCGGTGGTCTGACTTTCATGGCTCTCTCAACTGCCGCATGATAACTGTCCGCCGCCATAAAGTTGTGTCCGGACTCGAAAAATTTCAGGATGAGTTCCTCCACCTGAATATTGGAATTAATCAAAAGTATTAAGTGAAGTGTTCTGAGGCGCACAATTATCAAGTGAAGCCGTAGCTCCTCGCATGAAATTGAAGCTTATTATCAGTAGCAACAACAACAACAACTACAACAACGGGCTCTTATCACCATTAAATGTGTAAGCATACCGTCATCGTCTAAACATTATCGTTGGTTCGATTCCCAGTGTAAGTGCAAACGCAGCGAGCAATGGACGCAGTTGAACGAAAACTTATCGAAGAATTTATAGCGTCGAACGCCATCCTTCAGGTGCAGGAAATATTGAAGACGTTCGCTCATCGTCTGGTAACGACAGGCAACAAATACGGACTGGTCCTTTCGAACAACAGTATCTTCACCGCTGCTACGAGACAGCAGGCATTTGAGTTCCTCGCGAATGTCATTAAATTGTCGGTAAACAGAAATGTCCACGCCACAGATGGAGACCAATTGCTGGATCTTCGCACTGAACCGCTGCAGAAGCTGGTCGAAGAAATGGAAGCACTGAACCTGGCGGTCATTCCACTGGTCTTGGTCTCGTTGGAAACAGACCGACGGTACTGCCTGAAGGAGTCGATTGTGGTGAAAGTGATTACTAGAGCCGGGGATATCAGCTATATGGATTTGGCAGGACGGTCTTATCTCAAACTGGAGCAATTTTTGCAGCTGACTGCGCTTCCGTTCGGCATTCTGTGCTATTTGGAGGCAGACTGCGTCTTGGATGTGGATAATCAAAGATATGCTATGAAGTGCAAGATGGTAGGAAGGCAGCTGGTTTTCCAGAGCGTAGCGGACGGGCTATTGAGTGCATTCAACGTCGTTGGGAGCTTGGGGCTGATGGTCGCATCCAGTCAATGGGTGACGCCGATTGGACTGTTGACTGTTGGATCCAGCATTTATCTGATGACGAGAGGAGTGATGGGATTTTTCGAAGTCCAGCGCCATGGAGGATTGCGATCGGTTTGTGAGATTTAATAAGATTACAAAAGCATAAAACTGAATGGGAAATTTTTCATTTCAGCAAAGAAGCACATTCTTCAACATACTGCTAACGGTTCTGAACTTTGCATCGGTCTTGTTTGTTAGCCTGCCCTACAGCATCGGGACTATGGTTCAGTTGAACGGCCCATCGAAGGCGTTGTTGAGTTTTTGTGCCGGTGTGGATCTATTGTGGTTGTTGGCAAAGCCACCACTGCATACTTACGGTTGGATAGATGTGTGATGATTAAGTTAAAAAATAAAACCTCTACAAGTAAACAATATATAACGGCGCCGGTGGTGTAGTGGTAAGCGTGATTACCTCTCACCCCAGCAGGCCTGGGTTCAATACTAGTCGGCGCCGCCGGGATGTTCTGAGGCATAACATCTCTGATCACGCCTTCCTTCGGATGGGAAGTAAAGCCGTTGGTCCCCGGTTCATGAGTTGATGGGTCGATAGGTAGGGTCCAGGTGTGGGAGCTGCCTTCCTGGCACGTCGGTAGCATTGGTGCTCAGCACGGAAAACAAGATCGACGGAAAAAAAACAAACCAAAGGAAAAAAAAAAGTGAACAATATTCAAATCTATATAGGGGGAAAATCTAATTCGGTCTAATCGCCCATTCCGGGCCTATCGAGCAGAAAACATAAAATACATATATCTATGATTTCGGCGTGAACGTGTCAAACAAACGTTTGGTACAATGCTTCTATTCAATAGCTGCAAGAAGAAATGTTGAAGAACGCAAAATAAGATCTCGAAAACAAAAGGCGGACGTGAATTCACTTTTCTCTCCGTTCGATAGGCCAAAGATAATCCCAATTGCGTTTCAATCGCTAATAGGCCAAAAAAAAACCCGTAGGCCAAGTTATTTATTTCGCCAACCTCTTATCAGAACTAATGGTACATATGGAAAGGTTAATAAATTTGGAAGCCAGCTGTAATAATAACATTCCGTTTGGTGCTAAACTGCGCAATATTAAGACAGACTAAGTGCGGGTTGTGCTTAATAGGCCAATAATGAGGTAGTAAACACTAGCATAATTCGGTATAAATATAGAAAATACAAACTTAATGCATGGATAATATAAAGTGAAAGATTTTGCTGTTGTTTTCATTTAAACTTTTTTTTTTTTTGTCAGTCTTAAAAGGAGCGAAAATGCAAGAAAATCTTATTTTTCTTGTAATCAACGGGGGCGCAGTTCCAACCATCATTATTGACTACACTAAGATTTTGTTTTGATGTTCGGTAAATTTTTACCGAAATCAGGACAGCTGAACGTTCGGTAAAACTTTGACTATTATTTTAAAGTCCATTGAATTAAGAAATAATTTCAAAATATGTAGTTGAAGATGCTAATTTTAAATAACAGACTGTAGTGGTAATTTTTATACGATAGATGGAGTAGATGAAAGCATTAGAGATGATAGTTCCGTTAGAGTACGGCAGTGTGAATATTGCATATAGATATTAGAATAGCGAGCTAGGACAACTTTTAAGGAAGGTAAAAATCGGTTTTTTCATCTCTCTTTACCAAACTCCCCCTTTGGAGAGGGATGGTGAGGTGATGCTGATGGGATCATACCGGCGATAACGCCTACTGCCTCCATCGAAATGGTTCTGTACGCACTCACGACTCGCATGGCCATTAGCCGGAACGTACTGCTCAATTTCCTTTGGTTCTGCTTCGTTTTCAGCGCTTCAATCCAGGCTGGGCCTC